GGGTGTTGGGAGGCGGTTTGGGGGTGTTGCTGGGGTGTATTGTGGTATTTGGGGTGGGTATCGGGGTGTTGGAGGGGTTATTAGGGGTTCTGGACCAATAATAATAATAATAATAACAATAGGAAAAATAATAATAATAAAATTGTGGGGTGCCGACGACCCCCGACCGGTAGGTGCCGACCAGCCGACCGGTCGGCGGGTCGGCAGCCGACCAGTCAAGGGTCGCCTACGGTCGGGGTGCGCAACACTGCTCATAGGCAAAAAAAAAAATACGAAAAGAGGGAACAAGATTCCAGACTCGTCGAGACCAATTAAACTGATTTCCATTTCATAAAACGATAGTAGTTCTGGGAAAACAAAAGTAAAAGGAATTACCTTATTTCAATTCAGGGGTTCATGGATGCCTCAGTTCGACAACAGAAAACATTAAAAAAAAAAAAAACAACAACGGGCAAAGCAAGTGGGGTTGACGATGGATGACAAGAGATGGACATAATGAGAGAGGAAGGGAGAAGTGCACGAAAGGATGAATGAGATGCAAAGAAAAGGCAAAAGAAAAGATACTGCAAACAGCGCGTGAGGAGAAGATTCAGGTGAAGCAGGCCAATGAGAGGAGCTAACCACGCTAGGGAAAGTTATGAATTGCCCAACTATGGATCCGAAGTAAATACCCCCTGATAGCATGTACCCTTCAATATCAAGCGAAGATACAAGAATGTCACGTAAGGGACTAAGGATGCATGTGTGATCAATCTGATTGAAAGGTTTCATTGTCGAGTTAGCATCACTAGCGGCTGCAGGGTACTCCTGAGGGGGTAACCTGCACAGCCACAAGAGCAAGCACAACCACAACAGCAGCAGCAGCAAAGCACTGTCACAACTACCAGCAGCAAAAACAACAACAACAACCCCATGGATGCCAAACAAACAGGACAGGCGGAGGAGGAGGGGGACAAGAGGGAGCGGAAGAGGAAGAAGGCAAGGAAGAGGAAGAAGACAAGGAAGAGGAAGAGGAAGAGGAAGAGGAAGAGGAAGAAGAATACTAAGCAGAACAAGAGGAGGAGGAAAAAGGAGAAGAAGAAGAAGAAGATGGAGAAGGAGACAGCGAAGGAGACGGCGACGAAAACGACGATGCTGACGACGAAGAAGAAGAAGATGAAGACGAAGACGAAGACGAAGACGAAGACGAAGACGAAGACGAAGACGAAGACGAAGACGGAGACGAGGACGAGGACGAAAACGAAATCTCAGACGAAGACAAAGGCGAAGACGAGGATGAAGACAAAGACGAAGATGAAGATGACAACTATGAAGACGACCACCGACAATGGCCAAGACGACGAAGAGAACCACGACAACGAAGACGACGACGTCGACGACGACGACGACGACGACGACGACGATGACGAAGACGAAGACGAAGACGGAGACAACGACGAAGGCGAACACGGAGAACACGGCGACGACAGCAGACGGCGAGGACGAAGAAGATGAAGACAGAAGACAGTGAAGACGAAGAAGATGAAGACAGAAGACGGCGAAGACGAAGAAGATGAAGACAGAAGACGAAGAAGACGAAGAAGATGAAGACAGAAGACGGCGAAGACGAAGAAGATGAAGACAGAAGATGGTGAAGACGGCGAGGACAAAGATGATGAAGACAGAAGAGGACGAGGACGGCGAGGACAGCGAAGAAGAAGAAGAAGAAGAAGAAGAAGAAGAAGAAGAAGAAGAAGAAGAAGGAGGAGGAGGAGGAGGAAGTAAACTTGCTTTTCGTGCCAGTGCCAATGATTTCAAATGGGATTGAGCGTCCATTTTTTGAAATCGTGCATCGTCAATTCGTAATACTATTGACAGGATCTCATTTATAACAGCATTTAGTCCCGGACCGGATCCCGGCATTCCACTTCCACAAACTACAATTCCTGTCCGGTGGGTAGGATGAATTTTTCTAGGACGTAGTTTCTGTGAATCTGGTAGGCCAGTCCATCCAGTCCAAGTGCAATTCAGTTTTTCAACGTCCGAGGGCCTGAAGAAAGTCAACGAATATTCCGGATGCAACAACAAGTTGACCGACAAAGCCCGAGATTAGGAACTGAAGTGTCACATACAAGATTCCAACTGCAGGGACGAGAGAGTTCACACCTGGTGATTTTGTTGACGGCCATAGCCACACGTGTGTGTCCATAGGGCTTTGCTGTATAAGACATTGAGTCCCAAACAATTTCCAAAGTTTTCATTTCTCGTGTCGACTCTCATTTCAAGAGTGAACTTCTGTGTGATAAGGTGTGTCATGAGGGCATTGTGAGATGATCCTGGCCAATTTCGAAGTACACATTCATCAGATAGTACAATGCCGTCCAATTGCAGAAAGAAATGAATGAGCTTGAGAGGAGAGAGAGGGTAAGGAAAAGAAAAAGAAGAAGAAAAAGAAGATGAAAGAAAGAAGAAGAAGATGATGTACACCAGCATAGACAAATGATAAAGCTCTACTTCTTCGCCAAACACTCTCCTCCTCCTTTACTCCTCTCTTATTTACACAAGAAATAATAGTACAATATTGAATGGCTGAACCAGAATCAATGTCTGAATCCCTCTTCTACTGCAGGTATCACTTGAGGTCCACCATAGCCATGGCCACCTGCCTCACTCTTCACTCTCATGGGCCGAAGCTATGGTGGACTACTGGGCCTTGCCCTGATGCCCAAAGGACAACTCAAAGCAGCTATGGCTGCTCTAGCTCAGGCCGCCATGCCTGACTCTGCCTCGAAGTTTCTTGGTGTAGCTCTACCCCAGCTGGGGTCTTCCTGCTGCAGCGCCCACCAAGGTGTTGAAGATGCCTGCCACCATAGCCAGATAAGTACCTCTGGCGCTCCCCATTCCTCCTGGTCTTCTTCCTCCTCTCTGTCCATGCTCCTTCCCCCAGCAGAGCTGCTCTTGCTAGCACTGCTCCAGCCAGCGCTCCAACCAGTGTGTCACCAAACTTGCACACCGACAGTGAGGCTGGGCTCTTCGCCCGGACTGGAGATATAGTGGCCTGCTTGCCTCTTGGGCGGTGACTTCCAGGTTGCTCGGCCTTCCAAGCAACCGGTACCTCCTTCCTTTCGGAGGGAAACGTCATTGTAGACTCTGATATTGCCCGTACAGGCCCTAGACTCAGACTGGTTGGACTGGTACCCGCCTAGACCTAGCCTACAACTACTGGGCCTCTCAAAATGCCACTTTTGTCTTCTTCTGCTCGGCCTCCAGTACCCGCACGTCTACCACTTCAGGGTGCGGAACCGGCCTACCTGCTACTTGAGTGTTTCCCCCCGCTGCAATCCTCAATGTCACGATCACAGGTAAGTACCGGCCCTGAAGACCCAACGAACAAACAAGTGCCCTTGCGGGTCACACACACTCAAGCCAACCAACACTCAGACAGACATGCAGACCAGCAAGCGTGCACACACACAGACATGCAGAACTTAGTAGCAAGTGGGAAACTCAGCAAGGCGTTCAGTCCATGAGCAAAACTAAGAAATCAACTGTGTGTCTCAGTCCGTGTTTGGTCAGGTCATCACATGCACATGAATATGTGAGCACATTGCACTATAATTCCAATATCATATAAATGTCTTGAACTGTAGTCGCCAGTGGTGTAAGGGGGAGGTCCTGGTGCTGCTACGTATGAGGTCATAGAGCGTGAACCTGTCCATAAACATGGTCAGGATCATGTTTTACTCGCTCAGACGTAGCACCAGTGAGGCCAGCCACTCCTGACCACGCACTCCCAGACCAAACCTGCAGAAAAACAATGTAAGCACCCAATGTGCATGTATGGCATGGGTTGTGTAGGCGTAGACACATCCAGGGATTGTATCAGCCTCCCCTCACTTCCCCCCTCCTCTCCACTCTCTCATGTGCTCCTGACAAGACACTCTCGCCCTCCTGAACAGCGTCCAACCTGGTTAGGACACAGGAGCTCAGTGCAAGCTGCCACTTGGCGCCCTGCTTCTGAGCAAAAGTGTGCAGGTGCTTAAACAGAGGCAATTGCTTCTTTCCCTGGCTGCTTCCCACAGGTGACCACAACACTTTTCTAAGGAGTAGAGGAGGTGCAGCAGAAGCAGCTGATCTTCTGTCTGCCTGGCTCTCTCTCTCTCTCTCTCTCTCTCTCTCTCTCTCTCTCTCTCTCTCTCTCTCTCTCTCTCTCTCTCTCTCTCTCTC